GAGAGAGAGAGAGAGGCAAGCAACGATGACCCAATTATATATGCTACTTAATAACAACAATAATGTTAATAGTAGAGGGTCATGGTCATGTTAATGGTATTTGAATTTGTAACCTTGGGGTTCTTCAGGGTTGGGGTCATGGTGAAGATCATGCATGGTTTGATCAGGGCCAAGGTGAAGATCATGCATGGTTTGATCATGGGTTGTACCATATAGGCCATCCCCCCATTCGTCCATATCAAACCTGTGATGTACAATAAGAAAACTGTGAATAAGATGTAGTAGGCATATTAGGCATATTAAAAGCAAATGGCATTCACAGGGGAATGCATTCTAACAATTTCCTTTTTTTTGTGGTTTCTTTCCACAGATAGGGGTTGTGATTGATATTGGTAAGATTTGTGAATGACAACTAGTATCCTTTTTTTTTTCTTTCCACAGATAGGGGAGGGGTTGATTGATATTGGCAAGATTTGTGAACAATAACTAGTATTGCAATTTTTACTGCAGAATAATGGACACCAATTAAGGAAATCAACTCTTATTGTTGAAAAGCATTTTTTCTCACCTCTCAAACTGGTCAGTTGTGGCCTGAAAGGAGGTGAAGTCATCGAGCAGAGTGATATTAGAGGCATCGGCTGCAAGGACATTTCAATTGGTGAGCATAATTCTGAGAGAGAGAGAGAGAGAGGAGGAGGAAGTGATTCAACCTTGATGGTGGTGGTGTTCATCCTCATCTGCAAGGTTGATCTTCTCGAGTTGGTCAAGTGGCTGTAATCATAAGATAGGAGTTAGTTGTGACGTTCATAATATGTTCTTTCTACATAGACGAGTTTGAGTTATTAAAACTGATACCAGGTGCCATCAGCATATGAAAATGCAAAATTCAATGCCTGCATGTGTGGGGTGTGTGTGTGTGAGAAAGAGAGAGAGAGCAGGAGGGAGACGGGTTTTATACATACCATGAAATCTTCAAAGGGCGTGTATGCTGTTTTTGAGTGTGCATGTGAAAATCGTATTTGCTCAATATCAGAAACCAAACCATCACCATATTTAATAGTCACAGATTCAAACCTGAATATTTCATATCCCAAAAGCACCAGCCGATACCGATGGTTAAGCAATTAGAAATAAAATAAAAAAGTTGAATATGTAAAGTGAGAAAAGTATATTACCCAAAAAACAGTACATACCAATGGTGTGTAGAAATATTCAATCCAAAATTGTAAGAACCCAAAACTGAATAACAAAAAAAGAAGAAGGAAGAAAGAAAAGCTGCAGATTTAATGAGAAATAAAGTGCATCATCATCTACCAATGCTGTGCCGTTGTAAGCTACACCAGCTTTCCCGACAATCTACAGAAAAGTTTAAGAATAAGAAAGTAGACAGAGAGACCTTTTACTTTTGATATAAGGAAGTGATAGCCACTCTTTTATGTTAGATTTCAATCGGGTGCTCGGGTGCTTGTGAGAGTGTGATTAGACTCTAAATTCAAAAAAAATTGATGACATGCCCCAAGTCATCCAATTTTACGTCTAATAGCAAAGAACAATTGTGATCTCCTTGTCCCAAAGATAAAGAATAATTGTGATCTCCTTGACCCAAAGATAAATGATCTTATGGTATTCAATCCCAAAAGAATAATTCCTAGTAAAACATGTTGACATGGATAAAGTTAATTCCTACAGTTCGTTATTAGTAATGGAGGGTGGCTGCCCTTATGGTTTACCGATTACCTATGCACCTTTAGAGTAAGGTTTATTTGGGGAATTTCTGATGAGAAAACATATGGAAAAGAGCCCTATTTTCCCTTGTTTTAGAAGGAAAGCGAGGGTTATCTCTGTAACAGGGGAATATCCTAGAGACCCAACTTCTAGTGTAATTGAAGAGGAAAAACTATCCGCTTTAAAATTACCATGTTGCCCATTGGGACTGTGATAGTTTAAGAATAAACCCTTTATACTAATTAAAATAAAATAAAATTTTATTCTTTGCTTTTTTCTTGGATTTTTCATGTGTTCAGTCCAAAATTCAAAGAAATTATGGGACTTTGGTAACCATACTCAATGCGCAAGCTCTCACAATTTTCTGTTCATGGTTCACGTTAAGAAAGACTTGGGGTATTTTAGTCAGTTATCTAAAATATGGGGGTATTATTGTCATGTGAGAGTTTCTGTCACTTACTTGGCATGAGACTTTCTAGGTGGGAGAAGAGTGGGGTCTGAAACCTCCTCAGGCTTCCATGAAGTGTTGATCTCAACCTGCATAAAATAAATATATAAACGTTAAATAATTCAATTTCATTCCGAAATTTGAAGACAATTAATAAATATAAATTAAAACATAAATAATATAAAGTAGTATTTTCCGCCTTTTTCTCATTTCACTTCTTTCAGAAGCAAGAGTTTTTGTGGACTTATAATAGAAAGAGAAGAGAGTCCCCTGTAATTTCCAACCCCTTTTTACCAGAAATCGAGTAACGTCATCTGCAATTGAAAGGGAAGCTAAACGTTAGCACGTGGAACTCTCTCTCTCTCCCTCTCTCTCTCTCTTCCGATTGTTAAGTGTACTCTCTTCTCTCTCTCTCTCTCACTACAACTCTCTCTCTCTCTCTCTCTATCTCTCTCTCTTCCGGATTGTTAACTGTACTCTGTTTCTTTCACTGCTACTCTCTCTCTTTCTGTCTCTCCTGCCGATTATTAACTGAACTCTCTATCTCACTGAAACTCTATATCTCGCCGACTGTTAATTGTACTCTGTTTCCCTCACTGCTACTCTCTCGTTCTCTCTGGAAACAGGGAAAACATGAAGAAGCGCAAAAGCACAGAGAGCCAAGATACCTAGCAGAAGCTTCACTTTCCGATCATAAACGATCACAACTCCACCTGCAATTGAATCCCTCAATTAAAATCTCTTTCAACAACATTTTCCGAAGCAAGCACTTTCTTCTTCAGAGGACGCAATAGATTAAAAATAGTCACCCATTAGTATTCCAGAGAGCCTCAAAGCCAGAGGAACCGATGGATTCAGTATCTGTTCACTGATTAGCATTCATAAACCATCGTAAGAGAGATAGACGGAGAGAGAGAGAGTGAGAGAGAGATAGAGAGAGAGAGAGAGTCTAATAGTAGAATGTGGGAGAAGAAATTGCAGACCAGATCTGAATAATGTCGATCTTGTAGAGTATCTTCCTGTTAAATTTCGTGTGCAGTGTGGCCGCCATCCTTGTATCACAGAATTCAGAGAGAGAAAGAGAGAGAGAAAGAGAGAGAGAGAGAGAGAGAGAGAGAGAGAGAGAGAGAGCGACGACAACGTAGTAAACTAAAACTAACGTAACGTCACGAGGAGTAGTACGTACGTAAGTAACTACTACTACTTACTTACTTAGG